ATTATATAACATGAAAATTGCTTAGTATTGGCAACTATAACAAATTCAATTACCACCCAAATAGTTAATGCCTTTCTGAACTAAAACCCCCTTACCCAGCAAGATCCACAAGCTCCTTGATCTCTAACAGTACCAATGGTAGGACAGTCGGGCCACTTCTGACGCGCATCAAAAGTATCTGGAATTACAGCAGGTACCTCAATCTCTTTCACTGGCAGTGTAGGGCCACCATGGAGCAGTGTCCCGCACAGAGAGCGGACATAGTTCTCGGTCACTCCCTCGAAACGCTTGCTGCTTGGAGTTGCCCTCCATGTTGTCTGTAGTGAGTTGACACGTTCAGCAATGCTTCTCATGCTCTCGGCGTAAGAGAGGACGGGATCATAAGGAACTGAGAATACAACAGGAAGGATGAACAAAACGACAGCTAGAAAGACCTTCATCTTGTGGAGAAGAGGAAAATACTCGGGAGAATAACTAAGCACGAGGAATTTGAAATTTTTGCTAAGTTGCTAACCAGCCCCACCCATGTGAGAAGGCGTGGCTAAAATAAAAAATTACATAATGGCAGTTCATTTGTCAAGAAGGTTGAACAAGGTCCTGAAAAACTGGCCCATAGACAGTTCTCGGAAAGGAAGGGACCTAGGTGAATACTTGCATCAAGAGTACAGGCTCACATTTGAAAAATTGCTCTCAGAAGATGTAAGGGATTGCCTATTAAAATTTTAAAATAATATTATATTATATTATAATCAAATTTTTGTATGCACCCTCTCCATGTACATAGATAGAAGTGGCTAAAAATTCACTCCAGAGTTTAGAAAATCTCAATAATAATTGTTATTGGAATCGATATCCTCGAAAGCATAATCATGGTTTTATCGGTGACATAGTAGCAAAAAATCCATGGATACTGTCAAATGGTAAGGAGGCTTGTTAATTTTATAATTATAATTTTTGAGCAATTTCTTTAAAAAATGCAAACTTGATTGGAATCAGCTCAAACTTGACATAAGAAACATGTACATGTACTAATGTATAAAAGAATTATTAATTTTAATAAAATTTTCTCCCAGTCAATACCCAGTCTAAAGCTCATCATCTACTGTAAGTACTATTCAACTTTGTGGTTACTTTGATCTTATGGCAATTCTGTTGCCTGAAACAGAAGTCAGGCAACAGAGTTGACAGCACATCAAAGTAACCACAAAGTTGCTTTCAACGAAGTTGAATAGTGGATGCTGGGCTTAATGTTGTATTGTGTCTAGTTGTATCCTTTTTTTAGAAAACATGAAACAGATGAATGTCTCATCAATGTCATTGTGGCAAAGATTTAAAGCAAGCTTTAATAAATGACATATCCATCACTCATTGCTATCATTATGTAAAACACACAGTTATTATTATTATGTTGTTGTTGTTTTGTTACAATTTTAATTAAACAAACATTGACTTTTCACACATAATCACACTGATTTGTCATGAAATATTACAGAGAGAGAGAGAGAGGAAGAGAGACAAGAATATATGATATAAAATAGGAGTAGACAAAATTTAATCACAAGTCAGGGGGGGAAGGGGCTCGAATAACTTGATAAGTTTTGATAAAATTTATAATAAAAACTTGTGAAATGACTAATAATAGACTATTGAGCCTAAAAAAAGAGAAAATATTAATTTTATTTCATCTCTCCCAACGTCGGTCATACTTGTAGATTGTTGTATGCCGATTCCGCAAGTTGTGATATCTCTGTGTTATATTTTTTTGATTTTAGTTCAATGATTTTATCAATCAGTACAGACTTCCTTAGCAATGCTCTTGTACTCTTACCTAACAATGTACAATCATTTTAGTAAATAATGAATTGGTATTGTCAATAGAATTTTATTTGATAAAATTTATAATACACTACATGCAACAATGCCCTTATATAGTAATTTTGGAGGAACGGGTTTTAAAACATATACCAACTTTTAAAAACAAAGCCCTGTTTTATTAACTTCTACGGGTACTTTTAGTAACAATTACATTATACATGTACAGTGTTCCCATTCATTCCCTGTGCTGTGTCTCTTACTTCCATTAGAGAACTGTGCTATGACCCATAGTGCCAAGTGTATAAACGAAGAGTCGTTCTGATCGAGTAGCTTTAGCATACAGTCAATAGCTGATGGCTCCTCATTCAGTAACACAGAGTGATACTCCTCTACAAAACAAATCAATACACAATAGATGATTATGAATGTACATGCTCCATCTATTCATGATTCTAATGAATTTAAAATGTATATGTACATGTATACATGTACATGTACACATACATGTACATGTACATATGAAAATACCAGTACATATAGACAGTACATAAGCATGATATTGTGGGATAAATACATGTACATGTACCATGATGTGCATATGTCACGTACATGTATATTGATATGAAATGTGTACATAATTATCATCATCATACAATGTATTGATAGCATTAATAAATGTACAAAGAGAGAGGAAGGAATTAATCATAAGTTAATTACCATTCATTGCCAGGTGCCCTATGATCCCTGCACAGTTATACTGTACCTCTCTGTGAGGGGAGTCAGTTAGTTTGAGTAGGACCTTGTGAAAGTCGCCATTGTACAGTGACATCAATTGCTTGCGTGCAATACCTTGAAGAGAGAGAGAGAGGGAGATGAAGGGTAGGAATATAGTATAGTACATACATTGCATACATACATGTACAATGTACACACAGAGGGAACTGAAAAGCATGCTCCATGAGTTCACAAGCCTCTAATAGCATGCATGTATGGATTTTGGAGTGATTCCATTTTGATTGGAATCTGCTCAAAATTTTTACAGAACATAAGTACGTGTACATATCTAGATGTACATTAGAAAATGTAATAATAATGGGGCATTTTGGAGCCAATTTTTTGAAAACAATATGGGCTACATAGTACATAGATGTACAGCCTTGGGTATTTTTCATAAATTAGCCTGTTTTTTAAATTGCTCATAACTCGAAAAATATTTGTCGGAATCAACTCAAACTTTCTAAATAGCATAAAGATATCAATATGTATCAGAAAATGTAATAAAAATTTGGGGTGATTTTGGAGCCATTTTTGAGAAAAAACCATGGGCTATAGCCTTGGGTATTTTTCATAAATTAGCCCATTTTTTAAATTGTTCATAACTCGAAAAATATTTGTCGGAATCAGCTCAAATTTTCTACATAGCACAAGGGCATTAATATGTATCAGAAAATGTAATAAAAATTTGGGATGATTTTGGAGCCATTTTTTGGAAAAAACCATGGGCTATAGCCTTGGGTATTTTTTAAAATTGGCCCATTTTTTAAAATTGCTCATAACTCAAAAAATATTTGTCGGAATCAGCTCAAACTTTCTACATAGCATAAAGGTATCAATATGTATCAGAAAATGTAATAAAAATATGGGGTAATTTTGGAGCCATTTTTGAGAAAAAACCATGGGCTATAGCCTTGGGTATTTTTCAAGAATTAGCCCGTTTTTTAAATTGCTCATAACTCAAAAAATATTTGTCGGAATCAGCTCAAACTTTCTATATAGCACAAGGGCATTAATATGTATCAAAAAATGTAATAAAAATTTGGCGTGATTTTTGAGCCATTTTTTAGAAAAAACCATGGGCTATAGCCTTGGGTATTTTCATAAATTAGCTCATTTTAAAAATTGCTCATAGCTCAAAAAATATTAGTCAAAATCAGCTCAAACTTTCTACATAGCATAAGGACATCAATATGTATCAGAAAATGTAATAAAAATTAAGGGTGATTTTGGAGCCATTTTTTGGAAAAAAACCATGGGCTATAGCCTTGGGTATTTTTCAAAAATTAGCCCATTTTTTAAATTGCCCATAACTCGAAAATTATTTGTCGAAATCAGCTCAAACTTTCTACATAGTATAAAATGTAATAAAAATTGGGGGTAATTTTGGAACCATTTTTTGAAAAAATAAATAAATAAAGGACAACACAACATTATACACTCCATTTCACTGCCTCCTTTCTCACTATTTGATACCAGCACCCCCATAGCAGCTGATATTTCAGACAAAACGTCACCAGGAACATGTTTAGAGTCTCTTAATCTCTCGGCTAGTGCAGTGAGACAACCAGCTTCAATTATAGCCTTAACAAGAAGACAATAATAATAATAATAATAATAATAATAATAATGAAAATAATAATATTAATAATAACAATGGAGGTGGATGGCCTTATTTCTCCTCTTTTTGCTGTCCTCCTTTCTCTCATTGATATTATTTTAATAATAATAATAATAATAATAATAATAATAATAATAATAAACATACAACATGTTGCTCCTCAGCTGCAAGGTTACGTATGGTACCAGCTGCATGACACTGTATCTCAGACTGCTCCTGTAGCGATAGTAACCTTGAGAGCTCCACCAGTGCTCCACTTTTAACAATATGTATCTAAAGGAGGGAGGAGAGGGTGGGGAAATCTTTAGAAGAGACACTAAAGTTATCAAGAGATCACTACAGATTCTAATGTTATTATTAAACAAAACAAATACTAGCACCATATTATAACAGATATTACAAGTCAAACTTTGCATTACTGTACTATAAATACATTAATAATTATTACTATAATTTATTGGAAGTAGAGAGATATGTGTAAGAAATACACTTAAGAGTACAGAGAAAATTAGAGAAGTAGAAAAAAGATAGTTCTTTACGCATTACTTCATTTCCTTTCATAATTGATAAGTTTCTGAGAGCAGCAACTGCAGCAGTCACTGTATCAGTGTCACCGCTCCAGAGTAATGGCACTAATGCATCCAGCCCACCACACTCAACTATCTTATCCTGATTCTCCTCTATATATAATAACAATAACATGAACATTTATGGTATCTGTGTCTGTTTACCATCAGATGCTAAGTTCCTAATGGCTAAACAAGCTTGACAGCAAACCTGAGTCAGAGGAAAAAGGAGGAAGAAAGAAAGAAAAGGAGAGAAAGTCAGAGAGAGAGAGAGAGAGAGAGACGTTAATTTCGGGGTCAATTTAAAACCTATTGACTCAGAGACATAATACAATGACAGTTTAGTGTATCATGTTGTAGCATGCACTGTGTAGTTGTAACTATGGGAACAAGACATGTCTCTATAGTTCAGGGCTGCTACTAGCTCAAAGCATGTGACATAGGTGACAAACACCCAATCAAAAGAAAGGGGAGGGTTAGCTCATTAGTCTAATAGCATAAAATAGATACACAAAGACTTATTCAGTCAGTTAAAGGAGCTTCTCTCATTCACTCTCTCTCTCAGGACTTTCTCTCTCTCAGGAAACTGTCAGGGCTCTTTACCTATTCCTTTACATCTCCCTCTCTCTCTCTCTCCCCCTCTCTTCAATCTTTCAAGATGGCTACAAGAAAAACCAAGGATGCTGCTCCAGCCACAAAGCAGCCAGGAGTTGGAAGAAAGGGAAAAGACAAACAACCAGTGAAGCCACTACAAGAGAAAGACCAGCTCATCCGTCAGCCACTAGCCAGTACCCATAACTCAAAAACTGACGAGACACAAAAACCAGCTGTAAAAAAAGAACTAAAACCCACCACCACCACCACTACTGCTGCCTCAGCCTGTTCTCTGTCAGCAGTACCCGCTCTTCTTCCTATGAAAGCTAAGGAGCCCAGTCTGTCTATTGCTAGTGCCATTAAAGGAGAAGCACTAGAAAAGGCTCTTATGCTACCAGTAGACATTAAAGACAGTGAAGATCCTTTCTGCTGTACGGAGTACGTTAATGACATACACATGTATATGATGGCCAGTGAGCAGAAACCGTGTTACGCCATTTCAGAGCGTTCGATTGTCGATCAGTCTTTCCCATTTACGAGCGATCACAGAAGTATTCTGATCGATTGGCTGATACAGGTGCATCTGAAGTTCCAGCTTCTACAGGAAACGCTCTATATAGCAGTGGATATATTGGATCGCTATCTTGATGTAAGTTGAGAGAGAGAGGGGGGGGGGAAGAGAGAAATGGAGGGAAGGACAGAGAGAAGAGATGGAGAGAATTCTTAGCCATTATCCAATAATCAGTGTGATCTTTTAGCTGCTTAATATTTCATTATAATTCATTTCCCACCCAATTAGATAAAGAAAGTGACCAAGGACCAGCTACAACTAACAGGAGTCACCTCAATGTTCCTAGCCAGCAAATACGAAGAGATATACCCTCCAAGCATATTAGACTTCACATACATTTGCGCCGAAACGTACGACGATGAACAAATGAGAGACATGGAGAGGAACATACTAGTGTCCTTAAGCTACGACCTCAACAAACCATTCACTATACAGTTCCTACGTCGCTACTCCAAAATCACCAAAGCCTCAAATAAAGAGCACAATTTGGCTAAGTACATATTAGAACTATCTCTCCTTGATTGGAAACTCTCAACTATCAGACCTTCAATGAAAGCAGCAGCAGCTCTCCTCCTGGCAAAGACAACGCTTAGTCATAAAGAGGTTGATTGCAGTGTCCTTCTTGAATATACTCAATTCAAGTTTGATGATTTAAGGGATGTCATGTATCGATTAAAATGCTGCCTTCATCATTATCACAGGCACAGTTTGAACACTGTGAGGAGGAAGTACGAGAATATGAAGTACCTGGAGATAGCCAAAGTGGAAGAATTGAAGAGGCGACTGCCAGGCCAGTCATCTCAATGACTCAAGAAGCTACTTTACTCAATAATTCTAAATTACCTTGATCTGTGAATAATCTGTTATTCCTAACTCATCTAATCACTGTATCACTTATTTACGAATTCATTTATTCCAACATTATTGAATTACAATTTTACCATTATGATGATTAAGTTACATAGATATACATGTACATATATAAAGGTGGACCTTTTCTGATAGTGATTTCATTAGCGATATGAGAACTTTGATGACTTTCCCATCACTGTACCTAATGATTACCTGTCTGTGTTCACCTAAAGTGGAAAGTAGAAAGACAAGAAAAATAATTACAAGCAACAATGATAATTTTTTTGAAAAAAAAACAGTTTTAAAAAAGTCGGAGGGATTAAGCTCTTACCGCTCACGGCAATATTACTGAGAGCAGCTGCACAATAAAACTGAACGTCAATGTCTTGAGACTCTAACAATTTAATGAATACAGCAACAGCTCCAGACTGAACCAAATCCTGTCTGTTAGACTCTGGAATAAAATAAAATGATACATACATGTACATGTAGTTAGGTATCTATGTACCATGCTTAAATCATGCAATGATTATAACTCTCTACCTCCCTCCCTTTCCCCTCTTTCTTCTTTTCCTCTTTCCTTCTCTCACTCTCTTCCTTCCTCCCTCTTTCTCTCTCTCTCCCCCTCTCTCCTTCCCTCCCTCTTTCTCTCTCTCTCCCCCCCTCTCTCTCTCTCGCTCTCTTTCTCTCTCTCGTACCAACGTGAGTAAGGTTCAAGAGTGCTCCGGCTGCATTCCTCTGAACCTTAGGGTCTCTCACATGAGCCAGTTTCAGTAGAGGAGGTATAGCTCCCTGGACTACAATCTCTCTCTTATTTGATTCGGTTGTGGCTAGTGTAGTGATGCAACCGCATGTATTGCACTGGACCTCGGGGTCTTGAGAATTGAGTAAGATAATGAGAGAGGAGAGAGCACCAGCTCGTACTATTGTATTCTTATTTTCAACTACATAAATAATAATAATAATAATAATAATAATTGTTTTCTTTTGTTTGTTTTCTTAGCTAGTTTTTTTTTCTTATTTTTTCATGTTTCCCTTTTGTTTTTCTGTTGTCTCCTCTGGGATCTCCCTCTTTCCCCTATTCTTTTCTTCTAGTTATTGTTTTTGTACATGTTCGTTATTTTTATTTTTATAATAATAATAATAATAATAATAATAATAATAATTCCCGTTCTAAGTGGAGAGGATTGGGATTTGAGGATGGTGGTGGACTCATTTCTCACTTTCATTGACCATATTGATATTAAATTATTTCTCAAAATAATCTAACTTAACTAGCTACATATATTATATTATCTAATTTTCCTTTATTTCTTTAAACTTTGTTTTTAACTTGTTTTGTCTTGTTTGTTGAATAATAATAATAATAATAATAATAATAATAATAATAATAATAATAATATATAAAATAATAATGCTCTCCCTCTGTTTGTTTTTGTGCTGCTATATTAATTTTATAATAATAATTATAATAACAAATACATAGGAAGTGCACCTGTACATTAATAATAATAATAATAATAATAATAATAATAATAATAATAATAACTATTATTATTATTATTATTATTATACTTACCAGGTCCTTTCAGAGCTAAATTACTTATAGCCAGAGATGATGCTTTCTGAATACCAATATCAGGTGAAAGAAGAAGTTGGATTATAGGCTCCAGGAATTGTATGGTCACTGGATCTGACCCTTTAAAAAGAAAGAGAGGTGGGGAGAAAGAGGAGAAGGGGAAGAAAGGACAGAGAGAGAGAGAGAGAGGGGGGGGAGAGGAGGGGAAGAGAGAGGGAAAAGGAAAGAGAGAAATGAAAGAAGGAACAAAGGACAAAGGAAAAAGAGATAGTCAGAGAGAGAGGGGAAAAGGAAATAAAACAAGTTAAATGCACCATATACAGCTGGTAGTACATAGGATAGTCGACTCGGTCAGTTTCCACTTTCAACGGCATAACAAATTCGACTGTATCACATGAGCAAAATAAACATAATCTCTCATGCTTATTATTCTAATGCAAATGTACGCAACACATTCATTCGTGCGCTTGCCATGTAAACAGGCTAAATCATCCATAGCAGTTTACAGAATACAATTGTTATTTGTTGTGTCTATGGGACATCTTTCTCTATTGTTGGCATCAACTATTAGTTTGTTCTATAACACTATCGAGAATTCTCTTTGTAATAATACTAATGATGATGATGATGATGAACTTTGCAAAGGATAAAAAAATACTCGTTTATATATAAAGGGATTATGGCCCAGTACGTAGTACACGCATTCCTTTGTTCCCAATTCCCTTTCCTCTCTCTCTCTCTTTTACTAACAATTTTCACTCAGTTCTGAATAGCAGAGTGCAGCTGATTTCTGTAGTTCAACATTGTCAGAATATGCTAGTGTCCTGAGTGATTCTAGTCTATCAGTGCTGAGTCTACGGGCGGCAGGAGAGGAGTCTAAAAGAAGAGAAAAGTGTTACAATGAAGACCAGTCTGTGTACCAGAATCAAGGAATTTAAGTATAGCATTGACTGCTTCTCTCTCTGTCTCTTTCAGGAGCGGCTCTGTCGTCCCAAAGCCATAAGCACTAACAATGTGAGCTCTCCTGCTTGACTGTAGGCTACAACAGCAAGCTCCCATCTCCTGAACAATTCACAAAAACATTATACAGAGATGAATACAACACCACACAACAGCAGAAAGGAAAGGCAATTAATTAATTAGCCAAAATTAAATAGCCCCGCCTTCAATTTATAATGAGAAGGTGTGGTTTATAAATAAAATGGCAGCCTAGGCTTTAAAAAATTTTTCACTTTCTAAAATGTATTAGACAGACAATAAGCATAACTTTCACTCAACTAAGAGTCATTTTAACTCTAGAAATAAATTTTGCTTTATTATAAAGACTTTTAAATGCACAAAATTATAGGATTCAGCTCAGCAGCAGTTCAGTTCAGCCACACCTTTTCTTTACAGCTCACCACACGTGCATTCACTTTTGTTTATGGCGAGTTACTGATTACTTAGAACTAGAAGGCACTAGCTGTAATGACCAGTGCTTATAGAGCAAGGAGTCCTATCAGAGAGAACAAGACTCACTCTTCCTCATCTTTTGGTGGGAGGAGAGAGAACTGGAGGCTGAGGTATAATTTTTAATTTAAACCTAATGTTGGAATCAGCAGAAAATGTATATACATAATTATAACAAAAATTAGTCCATGCTTTTTTTCAAAACTTGTTAGTTTTTAAGAAGTGCTTAACCTCAGAATTCGAGCTCGGAATCAACTCAAACTTTTCTACACAGCATGAGGACATCAATGTGTATCAAAAAATGTATTAAAAGTTTGGGGGGATTTTGAAGCCATTTTTTTGAAAAAACCTATAGTCCATGCTTTTTTAAAGATTGACTCCCAAATTACTCTTAAAATTTCTTTAATTTTCAATACATATTTATATTACTGACATCCTTAATGTAGACAATTTGAGCTAATTCCAACAACAAATTTTAGAATTTTATATTTCACTAATTCATCTCTCTTTCTCTCTCTTAGGCAAGAGAGGCCGAATTTGCGCGATGATAGTTTTATGAGGCCAAGAGGAGGGCATTATAGAGGAGGAGAGAGGGAGAGAGGACCCTACAGAGGAGGGAGACAGAACTGGAGGGAGCGGAGCAGGTCAGAGAGCGAGACCTACAGAGAAAGAGGCAGGAGGGAATGGAGAGGAGGAGACAATCCTGAGCAGGAGCAGAATCAAGAGAATGATGCTCGTATCAGTGATGATTTGGCGGGCGATCAGCCGGGAAGAGGAGGTCAGGGTGGGAGGTACAGGAGGAGGCAAAGCTCAGAAGCTGAGACTGAGTCTATCAATAGACCATTAGTTCTTAATCCAACTGACGTACCCAGAGCTGAGAGATACTTCACTGTAAGTTTGCTCATATACAATTATACAAATTTTAATTATACATATCATACATCAGGTAAATAAATACTGGCATATTATAAATAATACAACAGTCATCAATATTCATTCCTTGCCAATAAATAATCTTTTACAATATTTTCACAATAAGATGTGTATAATTTTATTTTTGTTTTAGCATTAATTCCTTGCCAATAAATTATTAATAATCTCGTACAGTATTTTTATTAATTTTATTTTCATCTTTAGCACGATGATAGATTAACTGCTCCCACTCGTCGTCCAAGGTCTGTGACCACACCCACAAAGTGGGGACACGACGGATTTGAGAAGATGAACCCGACATCTAAACCAACCTACCAGCCGAATCGACGGACAAGGATTGACTCCACTCCCTTAAAGTGGGACCACGACATGTTTGAGAAGATCAAACAGGAAGATGAAAAGGAGCAGATGGAGGTCACACCCCCTCCAGAGCATGGCTCAGAGATACCAAGAACAAGGTAAGCTTTACTGTACAGTGTTTTGTCGGGCAAGAATTTTGTCATCATACAATCCATAAGAATGTGGAAAATTTTGTTCATCAAAAACACACTGACAAAGTTTTTGCCCAACAAAAAATTTAGGGCTGTCGGTATTGGACAATCCTTTTTTTTGTAATTTTTAGGTCTGTTATTACTGTGCCAAACACTCGTGAGAGTATTGTATTTAATGAAGAAGGAGATGGAGTAGAGTGAAGGCAATTTATGAGTGACATTTTGAATGTATCTACTCGAAAACCTTATCACCTTCTTTCTTCACATGCACGATTACATTAAATTTTACAAAAATGTAAAACCTTTATCTTGAACCCTCAACATAGCATGATTCTCTAGCCAGTAACCATCTCTCTCTCTCATTTCTGTATGTGTTTCATAGCTTCCTTCACTGATAGTTCAGAGAGTGTTCCTTCATTCTCTCTCACAAACTTCCTCACTGCCTCGGGACTGGATCTAGCATACTGTCTCAGACTCCAACCTATCGCCTTTCGAATGAAGAACTCTTCCTCGTGTCCTCTACTCAGACAATATCTAAAGAGTCTCTCTTCGTCTGTCTTCTCTTTGAAATTGAGTTGGTGTAAAATGGCTGACCTCCGTAGCCACATATTATCATCTTCAATCCATTCGTCTACTATTGGTAGTGTTATGCGTGGCGATGTCTTAACCAAGTGACCTAAAGCTGGGGATATTGTGAATGTCATTTCAGACTGATAACAACCTGTTGGGGTCTTACCATTACTTGACAATAAATCCACAGTGTCCCACCAGCCTTTAGTAGAGAGGAGGTGTTTGAGACACATCATGGATTCACGGACATCTTCATCTCTTTCTCCTTTTAAAATGGCTTTGTTCTCCGATGCAAGGTCACAGCCAAACGATTGAAAATCTCTCACATCTTCGTCCCAGAGTGCATACAATGTGCTCAGTAGTGTTTCTATAGGATTATAAAACAAGGGTATAAAAACAACACCATAAAGCTGGTGATTTTGAAGGGGAAATTATTTTGGCCAATTTTCAAAATAAGACTTAATAGCCATTTTGAACCATTGGAAATATGCCAAATTAAAACCCACAAAATTATGTGCCAAAAATTTGCAGCATTCATCAAAATTTTACTCCTCCTATGTGCCTAGTTATTGTAAATTTTTTACTAGCAAACTGACTTCTGTTCTTCAGTTCGTTCTTATACCTCCCGTTCCACTGTTTCTGGATCCTTCGTCTCTCCGAAGCATTGAAACCGTAAAACTTAAACTTGAAACGAAAGTACTTCTCCATTTGAAGCGCATATGCTGAATATTTCTTTTTATCCTTTGAAACCTCCCCCTCTAACATTAAAGAGAATTCCTTCACCAACTGACGTCCCCTGGCCATATCATCAGGAGTGAGGGAGGTGGGCGGGGCCACTGGTTCAGGAACTGGAACAGAAGTGGATGGTACTTCCTCTGCTTGATGAGGGGTTGGGGTTGCCTTTGACTTTCTTTTCTTGGTTTTGGGCATAATGTAAAGAAGCACACCTTCAAATATTTTAATTAAAAATGGAAAGAGGTGTGATTATGTAGTTAATTAAATAATAATAATAATAATAATAATAACAAGTCTATATTCTCTTGGTTCCACATTCACAGCAGTATTTCGCCTGGGGGACTGGGAACCTGCTCCCACACTCGTAACAAAACTTTGAAAGAGGTAGACCGTGTTCATTGAGGAAGGTCCCAACCTGCTTGACTGGTTTAACTGGTTTTGATACATGTACTTCGGGATTGTAATCTGCTGCCATTGCTAGACCACCAAATGGAGATCGACTAGAGAGAGAGGCATTATGTTATTAATCAAATGCAATCAAAATTAGATTTTTTAATTTTGAAGTTGAACTACAATATTGCTTATCAGCTCATGAAACATGCTCATGCTGTTTAGCTCACTTAGCATGCTTTATGGTTGAAAAACTCTAGACTTAAAAGTTATAATGACTTACTTCTTACTGCCATTTGTTATCTGTTCCTTATAAACTGCTATCCCACTGGTTAACTTGTCTCTAGCATAAGAGGAGTAGTTCTCTTCATCTCCTGGGACAAAAGCTTCTCCACTATCAAAAATCGATGGACTGTTGGGCCGATTGAGTTTCTCCTTTGAGCCACTACTACCGGTAAGAGCATTGCTGTATCCATTACCACTACTACTGGTAAGAGCATTATTGTATCCATTGCCACTACTACTGGTAATGGCATTACTGTATCCATTGCCACTGAATCCATCAATGCTTCCTTCATTTATGACAAACATTTCTCTCCCGCCACCAAAACCTCTTCCAGTCTTGTGCTTTATATCAAGTTTGTCCTTATTGCTAGTAGAGCTAATACTGGTTCTGCCTTTACTGTAACTATTAGCAGTGCTACTGCTCTCAGTAGCACTCTGACTGCCCACTAGCCCTCCTATCACATATTTTCTTTCCTGGTGGCTGCTGCTATAAGTCTCCTGCTGTTCATGATGATCTGTACTGCTCTTTCTCCCTCCTCCTCCTCCTTCATCCGAGGAGTGATCAGAATACTCTAGTGCAGCAAAGAGTCTTCTTGATGCAGAGTTGTGAGTTTTTGCTTTTGTCTGAGACTGAGAACTTCCTCCTCCTCCTCCTCCTCCTCCTGTACCATTGCTTGACTTACCATCAAATAAAGATGGCTGTGGTACTCGTGACATTCGACTGAATGATGTAGCTCGTACAGATGAGCTATCCTTAGTACCTGATAATGCTTTTCTGCTACTGGCCTGCCACTTGCTATCTTGTTTAGCAGTAGATGATGATGACGATGATACAGATCTCTCTATCCTCCTGTCTGTGTCCTTCTCAGGATTATAAAGTGGTTTAGTGAATGTGTACGTGTCGCCAAAGTTTGTGTTTTGTCTCACAATCGCGGCCCCTGGGGGTGCCCGGTTGTTACAGTCTGATGAATTGGGTGTGGCTTTCTTTTTTAAAGCGGGAGGCTTGTACTGATGAAAAGGAGAGAGAGAGAGAGAAAGGAAGAAGTAAATCTATGTGACTCTTTTTTCTTTTTACAAAAACCATTTCAAATAGTACACATCATTAACGCAATAATTGCATTTACATGTACCATACAAGATGATTTATTAGTGAGAGTAATATTTCACAAATTTGCCTGTGGAAAGTCAATGGTGGATTGCCAAATTTTGTGCCACGTGCCAGATTGAAACAAAATGGCAGATTTTATATTGGCGAGTTCTTCATAGGACCACCAATCGCCAATATTAATTATTTACCAATAAATCATCTTGTACGGTATTTTAAAATACTTAGTACTGATTAAATAATAAAATACCATACATGTATAATATGTGTACATGCATATGATTGGCTCACATGTGTTCTCTTGTGAAGTGAGTCCTTAGCCTTAGGGTCCACGGTCCCTGGTGTCTTATTCACCTTACTGGCCTGCTGCTTGCAGAATGGGATGTGTCTCTCTGCAGTGCTGGGCTCAAAGTGTCTCTGACAATAGTTACACTGAACATAATCAGGATTAGGGGCAGAAGGGACTGGAGCTGGTAACGGACCACCTTTTAATAAATAAAATAATAATAATAATGATAAGTATTAATAATGATTTATTAATGCAATGAGAACTGATATTAATAATGTACATGTACAATTGTACATGCATTTTTAATAGTAACAAAAATTGTTTCAGTGGGTGTATTGGGTCATTAATTAGAACTTACCGCTCTTTGCGACCTCGTTAAATTGTCTTGCCATTCTAACAGTCTGGATAAAGTCCTCATGTTTCTTTCTCCAAGACAGCGTTTTCTGACGGCCAGGGTTAGGCGGTGTCGATGAAGGCGGGGCCTTGAGAGAGGACTTGTAATATTGCTCCATGTCTGTTCCTATTATTCTCTGTCTTCTTGAGTCAAAGACCTTCCTGGGCTTGTTCTGAACCTTTTGGCATATGGGCTGGTGACGAGCCTTCACAGAACAAAGGATAAGTAGAGCATAACCTTTATACACTTACTAGGGCGTCTGTGTTGAAGGATCTTCCACAGTTGACGCATGGCTCCATGACGGTTCCCTTTCCCTCTTCTTCCCGCTCTTTAATTAGAAAACATTCAAAGTTTATTATTATTCAAGTAGCCATGACAACAGAAAAACCAACAGTATTAAAATGGCGGGTAATGTTCACGTGACCCACGTGCTACAACGTGGAAGCAAAAAATACTGAAAATCAGAGAACTAAAAATTGTCATAATGACAGAAGATGTATCCTTGGGTTATTCTTCTTCTCTACCCACAGATGAGGCTGGTGTAAGTGATGTAGACCCTACTGCTGGGAAAGTGTTGGAATCATCATCAGCAGCAGTGTCTCTTTTCACTGAATGCCGTATGATGAAGTACAGGAACAAGTTTTTTGAGGTAACGCAAAAAGATTATAATTTTGTGTACAGTCACTGAATACCGACCGGTATCTAATAGTTTGTGGATGGAGTTATTTTTTTATAATTAATAAGTTAGTCAGGTGGAACCTCACCACTGATTATATATATATATATATATATTAATTATTTATTATTTTATTTATTATTTTTTAGCTCATTGAGGAACTAAGACTAAGAAGAGTGAGCATAATGTCTGATCGTTGCTTGAAAAGCTCTTTTTGTTAATTTTGTAGGATGTTAATGATCAAAATGAGAAGAAACTGTGTGAACTTTTATTCTTAAAGCACAAGCTGACACAAGATATTGTAAGTATCAACATTTGTATGTAGCAGATTGCAGTATGAATTGTAGACATATAGTAGGAAGTTTGAATAAAATTTGACAAATTTCCTGATTTTAGAGCCATTCTTCTAAATGAAGCCCACCATTTTCAATTTTGTGCATGCTCTATCACAAATTAAAGCTATAAAATGATTACGATCATTCATTCTAATCCTAACATATAGTATTATAGCAGTACTGTATAGTATCACTGAGTGGGTTGTGTTTGTGAGCAGAGTACAGTAGCCTATAGTTTTGACTGTTAATGAAATATTTCAAATGACATGCTTAATGGAGTGCATTGTGCTGATCTTGCATACACACATGTTGAATGTGTTTATGTATTTGTCTGGCTACTGTGTATCCTGTGGCCTGATTGAGTTAAGGGAACTCGAAGGCATGCGCCTCCTGGGAGTTTATTAGGGACCAGATGGCAATAACAAGTCTTATTTATCCCTTGTTATGCTTTGTGTATATGAGTCTGCATGGCTGCTATTGTGTATACACTGCACAGCTTGAATTCTTAGTAGAATAGAAAGGCATGCATGCAGTCATAAAGCATATATGAATAAAATGCTTGTTTTGCATTTTGCATAGTCTCATACCTGCAAGGCAGCTATGGAATTCTTAAGGGAATATAGAGGCATTTAGTCTGACAGGTCATTTATAATCATGTTGGATAGTAGCCATACCATAATAGGGCAAATTTGATATCTTGCTAGTGCTAATAGAGTTTGTAAACATAGTCAATGGAATTCAATTTATATGATCATAGTCAAAGAAGGTGTGGGACAAATAAGATTCAATGCTACACTAAAGTGCTAGCCGGCATTATTACTGCAGGAAGAGAGTAGGGAAGAAGCAGCTATATATATATACTGTAGGAGAAAGGACAGCAGTTGCCTTTACAAAGAAAGGAAGGATATTGCAGTACCACTGTTTAGTGAGAGCTAACTCAGAGACATCAAGAGCTTTATACTTTTGCTTTACAAGCTATAATAGTCTGTGAGATTCAAGAGGAGAAAAATGGCAGAAGAATTACAGATTGTTTTTACAAATGAATCAAGAAAGCAATTCAAAGCTGTTATTTTCCCTGATGACAGCGACATTGATGAGTCCTTCAGTCTAACTTGGCTAGTTTTTGACTCAAAGACTCAAAATGCTAGTCTACCTTCATTCTCATCGATTGGTTTTATATCTCAGCAATCAACTGTTGGGCCTGTACCAGCTCCCTCTGGCTCTTCATGGCTCCTTGTTAAGGAAGGAGAGACTCTAGTCCTCACTGAAGGTACATCACTTGCATTGTATGGGCCATTGTGCAGGCTATAATTATTGAATTAACTATATTCTTTCTTCTGTAGATGTGAAAGCTGATCAAGGAGACTTACAGGTCGATGAGCCCGGTATTGCTGAAGACTCTTCATCTCCCATTAAAATAACTAACACAGTCAAGAGCTCACTTGATGGCCATTTCATTTTATACAAAAGTGGTCGCCCTTTCTTTCGCTTTAATGTACCTCCTTTTGGAGGGAGTCTTACAATTCCTCCTAATCCATCGTCACTTTGTTTTGGACTCACAAAGGGTGAGGTGAAAGAAGGAGAAGTAGTCAAAGAAAAAGGGAAAATCTTTTCGCCTCTTGCCACACTTGAACTCTCTTACTTTTCAAGTGGTATCGATATCACTGTGACGGATAATCCAGCAGGACGCCCTCATGTTACTATTGAGAAATTACAATGAAGGAATAGCAAGAACATATGAAAGAATCATTAATTAATTTTACACTTAATAATGTCACAATTAGGATAGAAACATTCTGCACACATAATTAAATAGCAAACAAATAGCTAATCAATTTTTAATAAAAAAGCACAAATTAATATGTGCGGTTTTTTCATACCAATACATTGTAAGCTGTTCATTCACTTAAAGATCTTCATCCTCAATCTGTGCATGTCTTATTGATAATCTCCTTTCATTTTCATCTGGTGTATTGTCTTGCCACTCTTGATTATAAGATGTTGTCAATGGCCTCTCCACTACTGTTGATTCACGGACTATTTTGGACTTCTTCCTTCCTCTTATGGTTGAGTTATCATCTAATAATTCAAGGGCTGGTTCACGATAGTCTACTGACACTGAAATAGATCTCAGTAGAGGTTGTTCCAAAGGTCCTGCAACACTGCTCATTGTATCTTTGCGTTGTCTGAAGGGGATCCAATGTTTCATTCTGTCTTTGTGATTTTGAGGTATTTTGAGGCATAAAGCAAATAAGAATCCAAAAACTCCATACATAACTGGGAACAGTATCAGAATTCCTATGATAACTGATTGTATGCTGCTACTCTGGTATATA